GAAGAAGAAGAGAAGAAGAAGAAGAAAGAAAAAGAAGAAGAAAGAAGAAAGAAGAATGAGAAGAAAGAAGAAGAATGAAGAATGAAGAAGAAAAGAAGAATGAAGAAGAAGAAGAAGAATGAAAAAGAATGAAGAAGAAGAAATTCTTCTTCTTCTTTTCTTCTTCTTCTTTCTTCTTCTTCTTCTTTTCTTTCATTTCTTTTTTCTTTTCTTCATTCTTCTTTTTTTTTTCTTCATTCTTCTTCTTCTTTCTTTTCATTTCATTCAATTCTTTCATTCTTCTTTTCATTCTTCTCATTCTTCTTTTCTTCTTTTCTTCTTTTCATTCTTCTTTCATTCTTCTTTTCATTCTTTTCATTCTTCTCTTTTCATTCTTCTTTTCATTCTTCTTTTCATTCATTCTTCTTTTCATTCATTTTCTTTTCTTTTCATTCTTCTTTTTATTTTCTTTTATTCTTCTTCTTCTTCTTTTCATTCTTCTTTTTCAGAAGAAGAAAAGAAAAAGAAGAGGATGAAGAAGAAGAAGAAGAATGAAAAGAATGAAAAGAAGAAGAAAATGAAAAGAAGAATGAAGAAGAAAGAAAAGAAGAAAAAATGAAGAAGAATGAAAAGAAGAATGAAGAATGAAGAATGAAGAAGAAGAAAAAGAAGAAGAAGAAGAAGAAAGAAGAAGAAGAATGAAAAGAAGAAGAAGAAGAATGAAAAGAAGAATGAAGAAGAAGAATGAAGAAATGAAGAAGAAGAAGAAGAATGAAAAGAAGAAAGAAGAAAGAAGAAAAGAGAAGAGAAGAATGAAGAAGAAGAAGAAGAAGAATGAAAAGAAGAAGAAAGAAGAAGAAGAAGAAGAAAGAAGAAGAAGAAGAATGAAAAGAAGAATGAAAAGAGAAGAAGAAAGAATGAAGAAGAAGAAGAATGAAAAGAAGAATGAAAAAAGAATGAAAAGAGAAGAATGAAAAGATTTCTTCTTCTTCTTCTTTTCATTCTTCTTTTGAATTCTTCTTTTCATTCTTCTTTTCATTCTTCTTTTCATTCTTCTCATTCTTCTTTTCATTCTTCTTCATTTTCATTCTTCTTCTCATTCTTCTTTTCATTCTTCTTTCAAATTCTTCTTCTTTTTTTTCAGAAGAAGAAAAGAATTCTTCTTTTCATTCTTCTTCTCATTCTTCTTTTCAAGAAGAAGAAGAAAAGAAGAATGAAAGAATGAAAAGAAGAAGAAGAATGAAAAGAAGAATGAGAAGAAGAATGAAAAGAAGAATGAAAGAAGAATGAGAAGAATGAAATGAAGAATGACATTGTATCTATTTATTTCCGAATAAAAACATCTGTATCCTAAATGGAAACAAATAGATACAATGTTTCAACCACTGTACATGTGAAGGAACTGTCAGAGAACTGTCAGAAATAGCGGAGCTCTCTGCAGGGACACTTTTTGCCGGCTGATCGTGGGGGAAAAATCCGATTCGCGCACCGAATTATGCAAATATTCGGATTCGACGCAAATCAAATTTTTACTGAAATTCGAAACGAATTCCACTTCGCCTGGTTCGATTCGCTCATCTCTAATTATGACCATGCAGCTCCAGTTTACAAATTTGTTCTCATGTGATGAACCTTTAACCTAGCTCAGGGCTCTTCAAAATATGGCCCGTGGGCCTAATGCAGACCACTCCAAAATTTTATCTGGCCCAAAATTAGGGTCAGTGGCCTCTCACACAAGTCTTCAGCTCCAGGCCAAGCTGTAGTTTGTGAGTTTACAGCTGGACTCTGATGGGGACTCTGATGTAGGAAGGGGCTTTGATGAGGACCCTGATGTAAGGGAGGACTCTGATGGGGACACAGATATAAGAGGGACCCTGATGTAAATGTGAGGGAGACTTCAAAAGGGACCTCTCGTGTAAGAGGGGACCCTGATGGAGACTTTCATGTAAGAAGGGACTTTGATGGGCTCAAGTGTTTTTGGAATTACTCTTCTTTGTTTCTTTGAAGTTTTTACTCTGTTGTTTTGAATCATATCATGCTGATTATAGAAAAGTAAAACTCATTCATTATTTCATATATAAAACTTATTTTGGCCTGTGAATATTTGTAAAATGTACAATGTGACCCTTGTATGGGAAACTTTGGAGACCCCTGATCTAGCCTATATGAGATATTAATTTCAGCATATGCCACAGAAAGAAGATCAACTCATTTGAGATTTGGCACTGGAGAAAGATTTTATGCATGCTGTGGATAGCCCATGGAAATAAAAGATTGATTTTGGAAGAGATCAAACCAGCTATCTCATTAGTAGCCCAAATTATGAAGTTATGACTGTCATATTTTGGTCACAGCATCAGAAGAGAGAGATCACTGGAGAAGGAATTATTGTTTGGGAACATTGAAGGAACCAGACGATGAAAGAGACCAAATATTAGGTAGTTGGACATATTGACTATAAGATATATATATTAGAGCTCTCATTCATCAAGTCTCTAGGACTCAGACTCGAGTTGATGGACCTTAACACATATGCCATTTCATACATATCTAGGAGGGTTCTTCAAAAATTTTCTGGACTTTAACATACAGTTGTGTTTAAAATAATAGCAGTCAGACATCACTAACCTGATCAATCACTGTTTTTGGTAGAAATGATAATTTCTACATGGCAAACAATTTACTAGCAGGTGTAGTAGAGGAATAGAAATCCAACAGACCCAACAGTCATGACATGCATGCTGCTGATTTGTGTAATTGAATCACTAATTGAAAGGGGTATGTTCAAAATAATAGCAGTGTGGAGTTCTATTAGTGAGATCATTCATTCTTTAAAAAACAGGTAGCAATTATTGCCCTTATTTAAGGAAGGAAGGCAGCAAATGTTGTACATGCTGGTTACAGTGCATTTCTCTCTGAAATTCTGAGGAAAATGGGTCGTTCCAGACATTGTTCAGAAGAACAGCGTACCTTGATTAAAAAGTTGATTGGAGAGGGGAAAAAACATATAAAGAAGTGCAGAAAATGATAGGCTGCTCAGCTAAAATGATCGCAAATGCTTTAAAATGGCAACCAAAACCTGAAAGACGTGGAAGAAAGCAAAAAACTACTATTCGAATGGATAGAAGAATAGCCAAAATGGCAAGGACTCAGCTAACAATCAGCTCCAGGAAGATCAAAGAAGGTCTAAAGTTACCTGTGAGTACTGTTACAATTAGAAGACGCCTATGTGAAGCCAAGCTATCTGCAAGAAGCCCCCGCAAAGTCCCACTGTTGAAAAAAAGACATGTGCTGAAGAGGTTACAATTTGCCAAAGAGCACATTGACTGGCCTAAAGAGAAATGGCGCAACATTTTGTGGACTGATTAAAGTAAGATTGTTCTTTTTGGGTCTAGTGGCCAAACACTGAATTCAAGCCACAGTACACTGTGAAGACAGTGAAGCATGGTTGTGTAAGCATCATGATATGGGGATGTTTCTCATACTACGGTGTTGGGCCTATTTATCGCATACCAGGGATCATGGATCAGTTTGAATTCATCAGAATACTTGAAGAGGTCATGCTGCCTTATGCTGAAGAGGAAATGCCCTTGAAATGGGTGTTCCAACAAGACAACAACCCCAAACACACCAGTAAACGTGGAACATCTTGGTTCCAGACCAACAAGATTGACGTTATGGAGTGGCCAGCCCAATCCCCGGATCTTAATCCAATAGAAAACTTGTGGGGTGACATCAAAAATGCAGTTTCTGAGGCAAAACCAAGAAATAGAGAAGAACTGTGGAATGTAGTCCAATCATCCTGGGCTGGAATACCTGTTCACAGGTGCCAGAAGTTGGGTGACTCCATGCAACACAGATGTACAGCAGTTCTCAGAAACAGTGCTTATACAATGAAAAAATCATTAAGTGATTGAAAGGAAATGAATGTTTGAGTTTGTAAAGAAGAATACAAAACACTGTTATTTTTTTGAACAGTCTAATATTCACTTTTCTTAAATTTTTTTAGAGGAACAATACAAATTTGCTATATTTTTCTTCATGTTTTGATTTGGAATAGAATGTGTAGTGTTCCCAATGCATTTGTGTGTATGGAAATAAAAGCTATTAGAAGGATTTTGAGCTTTATTCACTTTTATCAACACACTGCTATTATTTTTAACACAACTGTATGTATATATATATATATATATATATATATATATACATACATATATTGTGACAGTGTGGTGATCTGTCACGATGTGGAAAGGTTATTTCACCCAGGATTCTCAACAAGGCAGGTTGAGGGGCTCCGGGGTACATGTTTGATACAGAGGAAAGTGGATTTTCACTTTCCTCATTTGTTTGTAAGGTCCATTTTGGGACCTGGAGCCTGGAAATTTCAAAGCGATTTGGGAGGGATGAAATCTCCAATCCTGGGACCAGGTTTTGGGAATGGCCAGGAGACTGATTGGTCAGGTGTGCCTCGCTCTCTTCTAGAGTCAGGACCAGGGTTCTGGGCTCCACCTCAGCAGACAGGAGTCAGGAGGGCTCCTCCCCGGCAGGTAGGAGGTCACTGCCTTGAAGTCAGGTGGGCTTCACCTAGGAGAGGTGGAAGCCAAAAGCAGCAAGGGGCTGCTCAGGAATAGCTGTGTGCTAGTGGCTAGCTGTGTGCGAGAGCCATTTTTGAAGGAGTCTGCAGGAGACAGACGTAAGCCTGAAGAGAAAGGCCAGAGGAAGATTGTTTATATCTGAGAGAGCCAGGAGGCTGAATCTTTTCGTTTATATTGATGATAGACACCCCTGCGTGGGAAACCTCTTATGTTATTGAACTGTCATTTAAATAAAAGTGGGCTGAAACGGCCCTTAAAAAAAGCAAGCGAGTTGCTGTGTGCGTTATAAAAGCTCTACCATTTGAAGCGAGGTCCCACATAATATATATATATATATATATACTATATTGCCAAAAGTATTGGGAAACCCCTGAAAATCTTTGGATTCAGGTGTTGCAATCTCCTCCATGGCCACAGGTGTATAAAATCAAGCACCTAGGCATGCAGACTGCTTCTACAAACATTTGTGAAAGAATGGGTCGCTCTCAGGAGCTCAGTAAATTCAGGCATGGTACCGTGATAGGTTGCCACCTGTGCAATAAGTCTGTCCATGATATTTCCTTACTATTAAATATTCCACAGTCAACTGTTAGTAGTAATTTAACAAAGTGGAAGCAACTGGGAACAACAGCAACTCAGCTACGAAGTGGTAGGCTACATAAAATGACAGAGCGGGGTCAGCACATGCTGAAGCTCACAGTATGCAGAAGTCACTAACTGTCTGCAGAGTGAATAGCTAACCTCATGTAGACCTCCAAACTTCTTAAACTCAGATTAGCAAAACAGTAGTGCGTAGAGAGCTTCATGGAATGGGTTTCCATGGCCGAGCAGCTGCATCCAAGCCTTACATCACAGTGCAATGCAAAGCATCAGATACAGTGGTGTAAAGCACACCACCCCTGGACTCTAGAGCAGTGAAGATGTGTTTTCTGGAGTGACGAATCATGATTCTCTGTTTGTCAATCTGATGAACTGGATTTGGTGGTTGCCAGGAGAAAGGTACTTGCCTGACTGCATTGTGCCAAGTGTAAAGTTTAGTGGGGGGGGATTATGGTGTGGGGTTGTTTTTTAGGGGTTGAGCTTGTCCCTTTAGTTCCAGTGAAGGGAACCCTTAAGGCGTCACCATGCCAAGACATTTTGGACAATTTCATGCTCCCAACTTTGTGGGAAGAGTTTGGGGATGTCCCCTTCCTGTTCCAACATGACTGCGCACCAGTGCACAAAGCAAGGTCCACAAAGACATGAACGAGCGAGTTTGGGGTGGAGGAACCTGATTGGCTTGCACAGATTCCTGACCCCAACCCAATGTGTGTGTTTGTGTAATTATTGCATTGGATAGTAGTAGAGCATTTTTGAATATTTCTGATATTGTACATTGGGGTACCTGGGTAGCCAGGCTGGACAAGGCAGTTTTTTAAGGTTTTTAAGTGTGATCAAGGTATTTTGTACAAGTAGATACACCATTTACAATTGTTTGTTTCTTTTGGCCAGCAGTATGTAGTTATTTTCATAATAAGTCAGTCCATATAATTAGGAGATCATGAGAGATGAATATGTGGATTTAGTAAGTTACCCAGGATGACTCCAGATCTCAGTGAGCCATATAGTACAATGTTTTGCATTTTGGGACCGTCATTCATCTTTGAATTACAGTCCTATACACTATTATGAACAAGAACATTCTACATTTGAGCACCAAGTTTTTTTAGTGTTACTTAATGAATACACAGCTATCTACACTTGTCAATCACCCAGCTAATACGTATATCTGCTTTGCTATGCTGCCAGCGGATACAATATGTTGCAAAGTCTCAAAGAAGGGATGCCATACACTCAAGTCTATGAAGAGAAGCAATTAATACAGAGACCAGCCAACAATAAGATGAAGTGAGATAAGATTACATGCAGCCTATTCACTCTGTGTTTGGTTCTCAATAAAAGCCAAGAAATCTAAGAAGGCAGAAAAAAATCAGACTACAACTGTCATGGCATATCAGAGCAGAGTTTCTTCTCTATCTCTTATATTTTCATTTATTTTATTGTATAGTGAATGTGATAAGAAAACACTGCAGATGTAGTTGGAAAAGTGAGATTTAATACTAAACTTCAAGAAGATATGAACTAATATATGCAGGGTAAATAATAAAATGTATTTTTTTATTGCAAATAGTACTGTAGAAGTACATGTTTTGTCTTGATATCTGCCTCCTGTACTCCCCTGTGCAACTGCAGAGAAGAGAGAGAGCAGAGAAACAGCCTTATCAGTGTGCTGCTGCTCCTTTGTTTTTCAGTTTCAGACTGGGAATGTATTCTGCAGCTTCTTCAGGGCAGGTTAAAGATTATTTTATTTGGGAGGCCTGAAAATCCCAGGTTCCTCATTGTGACAGCATTATGCCACTGCAGGAGGCTTCAGGACATGGTTAGGATCCTGCAATTGGATGGTCAATAGGTAGTGTCAATGTCACCAGGCAACGTTGTGGTCACCCAAAGAAGGATCTTCAGCTCTACAGTAAAAAAGAGAGAAGACTCAGGACCAAATGGGTCATTTAAGTATTTCTGGCATTTAGCTTAGTTTTGTCATACATTTGGGGTATTGGTTAAGGGGGGCTGGGTAGTGATTAGTAGCTCTACTGAAAAAAAAGACACTTATACTAGAATTCTACTTTGCTATGCACAGACTACAATACTATAATGCAGCGGTCTGGAAACTGTGGCCCACAGGTGGATGTAACCCTTGGTTTTCCTTAATCCTGCCCTTGGGGCACTGTTGAAATGAGATACTATTCCTCCTACTGACACCAACAATGAGGCACCATTCTTTCCAATGATACCAACAATTGGGCATATTTCCTCCAATTTCCACTATTCAATGGTGGGGAACTATTCCTTCCACTGACATCAACAATGGGGCATAATTTCTCCCATTGACGCCAATGATGGGGCACTATTCCTCCAAATGACACCAATGATTGGGCCCTATTCCTCCCACTAATAACAATGATGAGACACTATCCTTCCTACTATTGACCATAATTTTTTTTACTTCCACTGACCACCAAGCCTGAGGTCACTAGCGTTTTCTATTCCCATAGGCCACAGTCTGCCCCTCCCTCAAAGTCTGAAGGACAATAAACTGGTCCTTTGTTTAGAAAGTGTAGAGACCCCTACTATAATGCACAATACCTTCTAGCTGTCCAGATCCTGAGGGGTGGTCCCACTACTAGCACAAAATCCTAAGGTTTAGATCATGCATATTCACATATATATAAAAATATATGTTAAAATTACTTTTTTATATGTTAAAAAAGTCTGAAGAATATATTTAAAAATACTTATTTTTAAAAAACATTTTTCATATATTTTGTAATATATAAAAAACACATTTCAACATACAGTATGTGTGTGTGTATATATATATATATATATATATATATATATATGTATATGACCAAAATTGTAGTATTTCAAATATATGTCAACATTTTTCGGAAGAATATTTTTGAAATATATTTTTCTTCCATGTGGGTTATATCTTTAGTATATGAAGGAGGTCACCCATATGAATTATTTCTTTTTAAATTGACCAGCACTGGCCTTAGACATTCAGGTCTTGTCTCTCCCCCACTCTAGTGAGCATTATATCCTGAGTATATGGGGGGAGGGTGGTACCCATATGCCATTATTTTGAAATGTGACCACAGTTTACCTTAAAGTAACACTTGCAAATCCTGTACCTCTCCCAATCTGTTACTGGACAGTCAAAGGAGAAGCAGAAGACTAATGAGCTCATCTATCTGTCACTGTTCTTTCTCTTCCTATCAGCATCTGCCTTATCACATGAGCATTGCAGCGTGATCAATTGGTTCCTTGTGCTTCTCCTACATCTTCTAGTTTGAGCTATGCATGCAGGGAACTGCAAGAGGCTATTAGTTAAAATTCTGGTACATATCCTGCTTGCATTTAAAAATACATTTAAAGTGTGTTTAAATCTTTAAATATACCAAGTGAAGTGACTAGACTCAATTGATATACAGAGATGAAACAAATCCTCCTACATAAGTTGTACCTGTTTATCTGCAGCCATTTTCCAGAGGCAGGGGCTGGGGATCTAACGTAACACACTGCACAGCTCTGAGAGAATAGCTGAGTGTAATCGGAGACCCGAATGGAGGAATGGACTCACACCCCCTCACACAATCTCATAAGGAAACATGCACAGCTGAGGCTGTCAAGCACAGGCTGTGTCCTGGAGGCCTACTCCTCCTCCCCTACCGATCTGTTGGTGTTGACACAACCTGTCAGAAATGGCTCATACAGATAGCTAAGAAAAGAGACAGCATACAGAAATGATACTCAGTGCTTTGGAGTGAGGAAAGTACACACTATAGAAGTATATGCTTTGTTCAGTTTTTATGTCAGAGGTTTACAGCCCCTTTAATGATGCATTAGGGATTACAGAGCTGCATTCATTTATGATGTTTATATCTGCCTGTAATTCAGCCTTACCCTTTCCATGCCCCTACAAAAGTAAGTATATAGCTTTATGTTTACATTGCGTTATCTCTAGAACACCAGTACACTCGGATACCGGACTGCCCAGTGCTTTTGCAGATCTTTTTCTTACACTTGGATTTTCACTAAGCTTATAATCTTAGCCCAAAAATAACATGAAAACAAGTGTTTGGATCTCAATACCGAAAGCAACCAATTTCAATTAGTGCCAAATCTGCAGAACTGCACCAAGGTTAAGTGAAAAATATGATTACATTTTCATTTGCTCTACAATACTGCAATATTGACGTTGGGGCTCAAAGAAGATTACGGTGTGGATTTTGCAGCAACACAGTAAATAAGCAACTAAGCTTATTAAAAGCAGAACAGAAAATTGAAGTTATTACGGGAAGCTGATTAGGAGAGTTCAGTCAGTTTTTGCAAATACTAACTAAAAAAAAAACTTAAAATGAACTTTGAGAATTTTTGTGTGTGTGTGCATAGTAGGGGTACATGGACCGTGTATGAAATTTAAAGAAAATCTATGGTCACAGCAAACACTTTCCTTTTATAAAGCAGTATAATAACAATACAAATAACAGTTATTTTTAACCACTTGAGCCCCAGAGGATTTACCCCCCTTAATGACCAGGCCTTTTTTTGCTATACAGCGCTGCACTAATTCAAATGATAATTGCACGGTCATGCAATGCTGTACCCAAACAAAATTTACGTCCTTTTCTTCACACAAACAGAGCTTTCTTTTGGTGGTATTTGATCACCTGTGCGCTTTTTATTTTTTGCGCTATAAACAAAAAAACCACGAAAATTTTGAAAAGAAACAATATTTTCTACTTTCAGCTATAAAAAATATATCGTAAACTCAAAGTTAGTCATAAATTTAAGCCAAAATGTATTCTGCTACATGTTTTTGGTAAAAAAAATCCCAATAAGTGTATATTGATTGCTTTGTGTGAAAGTTATAGCGTCTGCAAACTATCGTATAGATGCTGTAATTTATGCCTTTTTTTGCTATACAGCGCTGCACTAATTCAAATGATAATTGCGCGGTCATGCAATGCTGTACCCAAATGAAATTTACGTCCTTTTTTTCACACAAATAGAGCTTTCTTTTGGTGGTATTTGATCACCTATGCGCTTTTTATTTTTTGCGCTATAAACAAAAAAACCACAAAAATTTTGAAAAGAAACAATATTTTCTACTTTCAGCTATAAAAAATATATCGTAAACTCAAAGTTAGTCATAAATTTAAGCCAAAATGTATTCTGCTACATGTTTTTGGTAAAAAAAATCCCAATAAGTGTATATTGATTGCTTTGTGTGAAAGTTATAGCGTCTACAAACTACGGTATAGATACTGTAATTTATGCCTTTTTTTGCTATACAGCGCTGCACTAACTCAAATGATAATTGCGCGGTCATGCAATGCTGCACCCAAACAAAAATTACGTCCTTTTTTTCACACAAATAGAGCTTTCTTTTGGTGGTATTTTATCACCTGTGCGCTTTTTATTTTTTGCGCT